AGACAGCTGATAGATAGATAGATAAACTTTGAGTCTATATTCTGTCTTTACATATACAACTGGACAGTTGTCTCAAAAATGATGAGCCATGATCCATATCAGACCATTCATGTGTCACACATGACCATTAAGAACTGCTGGACTAGCAAAAACATGTAAAGTGCCCTAATTATAATAATGATGGTGAAAAAGAAAAAATTCTGCAAATATTTTGAGGAGATTTAGACAGTTAATGCCAAAGAGAAGTCAGAGATGACTCCAGGATAGAACACCTAGACTGGTCCAACGGACTGACAGGCGTGTCAGGTGCAGCCATTGCCATGGGGCTATGTTGAGAAGAAAAGCAGCATTTGCAGAGGAAAATAATCATCTTGTTCTAGACTAGGTCTCTGTGAAGAATTCGCAGAAAATAGAGTTGAATATGCCTTGGGTAGTCACAGAAACAGGATCTGCTCCAAATGGGAAGTTGATTCCAATGATGTGTGATTCATCAGTAGAGGGGTTCACACTGAGGCATGCAGGTACTCTCAAGGCTTCAACAGGAAAAGCTTTGGGGGTGCCAATCAGGGTTTAAGAAATACTTACATTTAGAAAGAGTAGGATGAAGACCACCTCTCTACTTCACATTCCTCCCACACTTTCTTCCACTTCCCTTCTACTGACTGCATGCTCAACTTTTCCTGCAGGTGATTTTAATTATATAAATTGCAGGTTCTTGGAAGGGATGAATACAACTTTTTATCACCTTCTACAGTCTACACTTGCACAGAAAAGATATTTTCAAAAGCACTTACATGAGTGGCTTCTGGGAACGTTCACTTACTTATGGTATTGGAGAAAACAAATAATCTCTGCGTGCTTCTTTTCTCTCTTCTGGGAAAAGGTTTGAGAATGGTGCCACCTAACAAGCTTGTTGTGAGAATAAAGCCACTTAACATATGTGAAGGTCAGAAAAATGATGTGACACAAAATGCTGAACTAATACTAGCTTTTATAAATGTGATTCTTGGTCCATTTTCTCAGTTTCCCAGGGAAGCATGGAAAATCTGCTACACCACAATGTGGACAATGTAACATCGAAATTAATACAAAAGACTGAGCATGGTCGTTTGTTGTTAACATGTTTAAAAGATACATGGTTGAATGGAGTGAGTTACTGCAGTGATTTAATCTTTCTCATTGTGTGTGTGGGGGGGGGACATCTTTAACGGTGTCTTTATCAAAGACATGTTGGGAAAGTCGGGTAGCTACCTGTTGGCCTCTGAGAGGAAAGTGCAGTCCTGTGGATATGTCTCTAACATCAGCTAACATGAACCACCTTTACTGACACTCCTTCAGAGAAAAGGCTGTGGTTCTACACGATAGCTTCAGAAGCAGGGACAATCTGTGTTGAGGCACTGGCATGCTGTAGCTTATTTTTTCTAATTCTGAATTGATGTGAAATAGCCACATATTTTATGAACTATACAGCAATTCTCCAACCAAATGTATTCCCATCACACTAGGCAGTTTGCCATTCCAATTCCTTTACCATAGACTCTCGACACCCTATTTTTATGTGGAACACCAGAGTCTTGTATAATCTGTTTAAAATTTTGTGGAACACCAGAATCAGTGTAATCTTTTAAAGCCTCACACAGGAAAGAAAACATATGGTACATATATTCTACTTTTTATTCCATAAATCATCAGTAATTCAGCTTGAAATAGTGCCAGCATGTAGTAAATGAGTGCCAGGTAAAACGGTGGGCACCTTGGTATTTATGATAGACTGAAATATTTGCCCAACCTGAATGAATTCTAAAAGCTAAGTTACCCTCTTTAATTTCCCCTACCAAAAAGTACCTCATGCCATTGACCAAAAGAATGCAAATATGAAAGACAAGAAATTTATAATGTCCCTGAAAGCCATGCCAGGGACAATGTTCCGATATAATTTCTGGTTCCTTATTTGAGTACATTTCCCTTCCTGAATGCCAACATAAAATCTGAGGCATAGAAGAGAACTTAAAAGTTATCACCTCCAATCGCAATCAAATACTTCACGAACCCCCTAGAATCCCCGGTCTTCCCTTTTCCATGAGTATTCTGTTAATTTATCTGGTAACAACATAGGAGTTATATAAGGTTGTGACCCAGCAAGATACAGATGAATATATCCAGATGGATTGATAAAGCAGGCCAAATATGTGTACATATTCACATATTATTAATATGTTATATATTAGAATCACAGAGATAAAATCCTAAGTCACAGACAAGCTAGGTTTGGTTGTCATTTGCTAGATTTGGGTTTAAAAAAAAAAAAACACAACAGGAAATTTTCTCCCCTTTTTAATGTATCAGATGCCAGAAGTCCTAAGATTTCTTTTCTTTTCCTTCATCTCCATCCATCCATTCATCTAGTCATAGACATTCATCCTTTAACCATTTACTAGTTTTCTGATACTAGAGAATGAAACAGATAGATAATATATTGTGTAGGAATCCAGGTCGCGAAATTAGACACTGACCCAAGAAGCAAATATTGCAATGCTTTGTGAGAATTTAGGGGATAGGAGACAACAGAGGGAAAGAAAGCTCACAGAGGATGCAAATCTTCTAAAATCAAGCCCTTCTGTTTGCTTGACCTGATGCAATTAGACTACTCTAGCCAGACATTTGTTGTGCAGCAGTGAAGCAAAGTCTGGTAGAGTGTTCTTACCATCACCACAAAGAACCCTGAGATCCAACGCACAGTCTTGAGATCAATAGCAGTGAGCTGAGCTCCTGCAGACACAGAAACTCATGCTCCACTGAAGAGCTTCCCTAACGAGGGTCTACATTTTAACAAGACTTCCAGGTCATTTATCTGTCAACATTTGAGAAGTCTTTTCATAGAAGGTGAGGAACTTCTCCTACACAGAATTTTGCTTGGGACAAAAGCCATCCTGGAAAAGATTTGACCATCATGTGACTCACCCCCCTCTCTTTACAATGAAGAGTCCCAAGTTGAGGACATGCCCAGCAGGGCCTAGGAGGCAGTTTCTGACAGAAAGTATGTGAAATTCTATTGTCAAACACAGCTGGTTTTGCAGACAGACACACTTGGAGACCAAAATTCCAAAAAGATGGACAAGAATGTATGTAAAAAGTCTGGTAAATAATAAACACTAAATAAACAATACTTCAAAGAACTTGATACTTGATTTTCTCAGGGAATTCCTTACTCTATTCTCCTTTCCACAATGCTAATCTTGCCAAGGTGGTCCCCTTGTCCAACCGTAGCACCATTTGTTGTTTAAGTTTACCCATTAAAATATAAACTACTTGTTGAAATAATTAAATTAGATATGATTCTTGGCTTGTTTGTTCTAATAATTTCTGATTGTTTTTGCCAAAAAAAACCCAGATAAGGACATTTCCAATACATGAACATAGGTAAGAAAATATTTCTTATTAGCATGAGTGTTTCACTGTTGGTGAACTTACAAATAATTCTGGGAGAATATGACCTAAATTGCATTTAAACTATCCATGTCATCTGCTCCTTTTGTTTCATCCTTTATTCTTCACCTGTGAGACTCTTCCCCACAACTCCTTGAAGTGTTCAAATCAATGTCATCTTCCAAGTCCATCACTGTACTTCCCTTCCTTATCCCTTGACCTCCCAGAACTACCTCCATTTGCAAAGCAGAAAGCAAAAATATAAAATGGCCAATGGCAAACCAAAGGAAAAAAAATAGACACATACACCCACACACTACCTTCATCTATGTCCAACTGTGAAAACTATAGAGATTTAAATATACCAGATGAATCATGAAAGATGCTATCTTAGAATAAGGAAAGAAGAAGAGATTTTTCTCTCCCAAAACGTCTCCTTACTTTCTCAAGATGGCCTTTCCACCACTGGCTGACCAAGCCCCAAATGTCACCATCCCCCTTCAGAGGGTCAGTTACTGCCCAGATCACTCCTAATCTTCCCTTATGCAAGGCTTCTCTCTCACCTACCCTCCAGGGTTTTCCCCTCATCAGAAACCTTTCTAGAACGTTTCAGCTCAATATCAGGTCAGCAGACAGTCCCTATGCTTACCCAATTTAAATGCACACTGCCTGTGAAATTTCCTGAGACGCTCTCAGCTGCCACATTAAAACTTCATGAGAGCCTTCCTCGGGAGGCCTAATAATAGCACGTTTCATCTGTGAGCCACTTTATAAACATTAACTGATTAAACTGCCCTTCTTCCCACAGGCTCTGGGTTTCTCTGCAGTGGACTTCATTCTCCACTGCCTTCAAACTCCACTAGGAGGAAAAATGCTGGCACCTGAAGGATCTTTTCTGGATATTTTAGGACAGGATATCATTAATGCCAAAGGCTTTCAATAACAACCTTCACTTAGACAATGGTTTGGAGGGATAGAGCATTTAACTCAACCTTTATCTTTAGAGACTGAACTAGCATTTTCATCTATCAAAGCCACATTAGAACTTGACTCTATGGCCTAGGGCAGGGTTGTTGAACTACTATCCCAAGGTTAAATCTGGTCTATCCCGTCCCCCATTTCCACAAAGTTTCATTGGAACATCAGCTCGTTCATTATGAGCTATAGTTACTTCTGCCTTAAATTTTCAGGCAAGTTGTTGTAACAGAGGTCAACTCACCAACAAAGTCAAAAAGTACTGCTTGTCCCAATACTAAAAATATGTTGACCGAAGTTCTAAGGAACTACAAATATGTTCCCATGCTGTATAAATCAACTCTCCTTCCCGGGCCTCCATTTCTACATCTGAATGATCTCCATGTTGAGCCACTTTCTTGGGTGCATTCTTCCAGTGTTTGGTACAGATTAGCAACTGGTTTGGTAATTTTGTCTCATTCCCATGCTGATTTCTTTAAAAGCAGGAAAGGAGTTTGGTGATCTCATGAATCCTCCTGGGCATCAGATTCTACACTGAGCCTTAGAAATCTTTATGGAATGTAACTGAACTGACTTGAGTTGTATTTCTTTCTCTGCAGAGAGATCTCTCAGAATGAAGTCTTGGAAGTGATAGAGGCAGAGGTATTCTCCAACCTACCAAAGTTACATGAAATGTAAGCAAGAAATACAGGGATGTGGGGACAGTGGCATGGGACTCTTTTTGATAATAGCCTCAAAATTCTCTTATGTTTCTAGGAGACCCTGGCTCTGCTCTGTACTCAGATACCTAGAAAGCCACAATAGGATGTTAAAGTCAGCACAAAAGGAACTATTGATATACTGTACATAATGTAAAAACTCTATAACCTTCCTTGCTGTTTAAATTATTTGTATGTTCTTTCTTTTATAGTAGAATTGAAAAGGCCAACAACCTGCTGTACATCAACCCTGAAGCCTTCCAGAACCTTCCCAATCTCCGATATCTGTAAGAACTCATATATCCCAGTGCTACCTCCATTATGAATTTCTGAATTACTATCTAGTAAATTTCCTAGTTTTAGTCCAAGGAGCAATTACTTTTAATCAAGGAAGTCAGGGTGGTAAACGTGGAGTTACACAACTCCAGAAATAAATTTTAGCATAGTTTAATGAGTAAATTTCACTAATATAATTGCATTTTGTTTTCATTTGCAAAAACAGGCATAAGGGGTGCTATTTGCATTAATGGGACTGTCATGTAGACCTCTTAAAAAAACTCAGTCATAATTTCATGTTAATGAGATGTCACCAAAATTTTAGCTAGTATTTAGCTGGGACCTTGAACTCAAGGATATTATCTCTCTTGTTCTGCATATATGCATTATTTCCCTAAGACATTAGAGTGTTTGTTTCATAAGTTTAAGCCAATAACATACATGGTGTGCTATCAGCAGAGAGATTCGAGGTCTTTCGTGTTTTATTTTTTGGGCCTGTCTCAAAGAATAAACATACTACTTCTTCACTCAAATGGCTTTTAAATTCACCACGGGCTTGATAGACTCTAGAGTACACAAAGCGGTCACTGACTTTGAAGTTAAAACTGCCTGGGTCCATTGATCAGCAACAGATCACAGGATTAGTCTCTCACCTTGGTTCCCCATAAAAATAATGGAAATAACAGGTATGTGGAGGTGTTGTCTGTTAGCATGCCAACAATGCGTAAGCAGCCACCACTGAAGATGACGTCTTGGAACAAAGGCCATTTGTCCTATTTCACCCCTCTGAATCAGTCAACAGAATGATTCTGCTGACCCAGAGTATGTTTCTCTGAACTCATCTGAAATCCATCACACATCTGTAGTTAGTAGGTAAGTCAACTCAGAGTGGTGGCTCTGAATGATCCCAATTAGGATGACTCAGCTGTCTTCCAAGAAGGATCCATTTCCAGGAGGTAGTCATCAGCTAGTTTTCACGGAAATTTGAATACAACATTTTCTGATGCTTTTTATTAGCTAAAGCGATTTACAAAACTGGCTCAGTTTCAAGAGGCTTAATTTTTTCATAATTCACATTTCAATTAATTATTTTTACATATTTGAAAGTCAGAAAGAGCAAGAGACACAGAGATCCTCCATCTGCTGATTTACTCCCCCATGCCAATCACAGCCAGGACTCAGCCAGCTAGAAGGCAGAAGCCCAAATTCAATCTATGAATTGCATGTGGGTAATATGAACCCAAGCACTAGATTCATTACTTGTGGCCTACCAGGGTAACTGTCATAAACAAGCTGAACCCAGCAGCTTAGACTCAATCCCAGACATTTAAAAATAGGATGTGAACATACCAAGTGCTGTGTTAACCACCATGGCAGCCATCCAACCAATAATATACATTTTTCATAAATGTTTGCACCTCCCTAGTTTGCATAGTTTTGAAAAAAATAACTTGATCTTTTAATTCTAGTGAATCACCAGCTTCTCCCCAGGTTCCCACATGGATGCAGGTGCTCAAAGATCTGGACTGCCCTCAGCTTTTCTCCCAGGTACATTAGCAAGGAGCTGGATTGGAAGCAGAGCAACACAGACTTCAACATGCACCCATATGGGATGCGGGTGCCACAGTTAAAGCCTTCATTTGCTAAGCCAGAGCACTGGCCCCTGATCATTCTTCTTAATGAGGACCATTGAGGCTGGGATTGCAGCAGAAGGGTTTAAACCACCCCCTGTGATGACAACATCTCACATGAGCACCCATTTGAGTCCTGCCTGCTGCATGTTCCAGTTTCCTGCTACCTGCTAATGCTCCTGGGAAAGCAGCAGAGAATGACTTACATAATTGGGCTCCTGCTACCCATGTCAGGGACGTGGATGGAATCTGGCACCTGGCTTCTGCTTGGCTCAGCCCTAGTTGCTATAAGCATTTTAGCAGTAAAGCAGCAAGTAAGAACAATCTCCTCTCTTTCTTTCATTCTCTCCTTCTTTCTCTCAAGTAAACTCAATAAACTTTAAAAATTTACTTTGGTGCTTTGGTAAAAAAAAAATTTGAAATCTGTTTATACTTCTACATCTATTCTGTGATCAGATTGCAGCTGTCCTCAGTGTTCCCACACTGCATTCACAGTGGCTCTTCAGATCTGAATGACTGCATCAGGGAAGCAAAGCCCAGTTACCTTCCATCCTGTATGCGTTAGCTTGAGCTGCCATAACAAAATATCGGACTGTATGACAGTTCCAGCAACCATGAAGACCAAAATCAAGTTACGGACCAATTTGGTTTCTAGTTATTGTTCTCACATGGAGTCAAGAGCGAATCTGTGGTATCTCTTTACATAAGTCTCTGAACCCTATTACACTAGAGCCCTACCCACAAGACCACATTTAAACACAGTTACTTACTTCCAAAAGGCACTATCTCCAACACAATTAAGTATGGATTAGCGTTTAAACATACAAAATTAGGACAATGGTTGAGCATATGAACATTCGAATAACAGCATCCGCAGCCTCGAAGTAAGTGGCAACAATTGCAGTTGGTCTTTGCAAGGACACACCATTTACTTCAAAGCAAAGGAGAACACAGACTAGATGAGGGAACTCATTGGAACCAACAGCACTGAGCTTTGTATCAGCTAGGTTGAAGCCAATGTGGCCATCTGGAGAGTGAACCAATGGATGGAGGATTTCTCTCTCTCTTTCTCTCCCTCTTTCCCTTCCTCCTTATCCTCTATAAAATCTGCCTTTCAGATGAAAACAGAAAAATATTTTTAAAAATATGGATATGTTGTTCCCAAGCTATTCCTGTGAATTCTCTTTTATGCTGCGCATTTCACAGCACAGAATGCAAGAGAATCAGAAATCAGAACTCCTCATCAAAGCCTTCTTGCTGGTGATATGGTTAAGACTCATATATAAAGCACTGTTCTTTGACTAGAAGAATACTCACCTGAGGATTCATCTGGGTGGATTTTTTTTAAATCAATATTATAATGACAGATACTATTTCTTTCTTTACTGCCTGGCCTCCCTGCAGCTGACCTTTCATATACGAAAGATTATCTATTGATCAGTAGGTAAGGTTTACACAATATTCTCTTGTCTTTGTATTCTGTCAAAGTAATTCTCAGACAGCTGGGCACAGCTCTTTGCTATTCTATAAACTATAATCCAAGTTCACCAGAAATTTCACAAAGCTGTGTGGGCCTCCTAACCTCCGCCTCCACTGAAAACCCTCCTCCACTGAGACATGGGCCCTTAGACCTCGCTAACCATCCCATCAACGCTGCCCCTTTTCACCAGTTTGGGACAATTCCAGGAGGCTTTTCACTGGGACAACTCTGAAACATCCAGGCCATGTCTCCCTCAATCTTTTGCTAGGATCCTCTCTCTGTTTTCTATGTTCCTCTGTCTCACTGGGTTTAGCAGGGGTAAAGGAAGTAAGTTTTCTAATGATAAAAGCTAAACTGTTGCAAATAGCATAGCAAAGGATTCCAGAGGCAGCTCAGCACAGTGAGTAAGTGCAAGAGGTTCCACCCTCCCAAGCCGGGGCCAGGTCTTAGCTTCTTCTCTTGCTAGCTAGTTCTACAACCTTGTATAATAAGCTTAACTTCTCTAAATTTGTTTTCCTTTTGATAGAACAGTAATGCCAACATGACTTACATCACCGAATTATAGTAAATAAGTTAAAATAAATGAAGTGCTTGGAAGAATCAAACTTTAAAAATTCTCAATAGATATTGGCAATACTTATCAACTTCCTGAACTTGTCATTTGCTATCTCAGTATACCCTTCCATGGGACTTTGTTGCTTTGTTCCTCAGTTCTGTCATCTGCTGAAGAAAATGAATACATTGCAAGATTGGTCTACGGTTTTTAGATTAACAAATGCAAAGACTCTGGGAGAGCACCGGGGCATAATTAATGTCTCTGATTTGAGGATGTCAGTGTTGATGTTGTCTCTATCCCCTGGCAATATCCCTACCATTGTAGAGTTTTCTCTAATATTTGCTTTTGGAAAGAATCCATCAATTAAGTATTCAAACATGGAATTTGTGTTTCTCAAAGGACAAAATCATATTTCTTACAGAAACCTTAACATATCCAGAAAGATTCTTCCAACAGATAAAACCACATTATCCATTGGTTTCTTAATAGAGGACTCACACCCTTGCCTTTTAGTGTTTATTTTCAACACTAGTGGTCCACAAGTTTTCATTATCTCCATTCAAATTAATTCTCATTTTCCACTCAGTCTGCAGAATAAAACTTTCCATTTTTATATTAATTTATAATTTGACACTTTTAGCAAACTTTATGAAATTTGAACCTCACAGCAATTCACAGGGTAGGCAAAGCCTAACTGGCCTATTTTTGTCAGAGAATTAAGCTTACATTGCCTACAGTATTCATAGGGCTTTTCAAATAGGAACATGAAATGTTCCTTGAGAATAGATCACTAATGCTTTTGGTGCACAGCCATATTCATTTGTCCTTGGTGGCTGGAATATGATCTGTCCAAAGATTCATCTTTATACATTCTGGAAGCCATGGATCCTATTTGTGCTTGCCCATTTATCCTCCAAAATTTTGAATATGAATTGGAAAGTTGATAAGAAATCATTCTTTCAGTCAATCATTGAATAAGCACTTACTGGAGGCATCCTGCATCCCAACCTTTGTTGTTACTGTTGGTTGTACAAAGTATTACAGAAGGATGGAATTTCTGTTCCCAAAGAGCTTTTATTCTAGTTGAGGGGACAAACAATGTTGTTGAATGTCAGGCAGTAAAAGTGCCATAAGGAAAAATTAAGAAAGGAGGAAATCATGTTTCACAAAGGATGGCTGAGAAAGGATATGTAGGAAGGCCTATGAAAAATACAGGAGGCAAACACAGACATCTCTCATGTCAAGGAGCTCATTCTTTTGGGGAGAAAAACCATCATCCATTAACTCTGGGAAATAACAATGCAATTGCCGACTTGTGAAGTACAAATCACAGATAAGAGGAGA